GATATGTTCACACAAGACCAACATCAAAATTATCATTAATTGCACAATGGACTAATTAATTTTTAAAGTTCTATTTTGCAGGATCCTTTTGCTCAAATGTGTAAGGCTATTCCACAAAAAATTGAGCTCTAGGGAGAGCACAATCCTAACATGAACAAAGAAATCTAACCTAAATACAAAGTAATTGTGTCTCTCCAGTCTGCCAGTGAATCACAACTGACTGTTCTAAGTTCTGTGGACACATCTCTATGGAAGAGTAAAGAAGAGGAGATGATGGTAGAAACATTTCATGCTTTATCATATGTGTTGCTGTGTGGCTGGTTATATTTGGTAACTCAAATTATAATGGAAGAGTAAAAAATACAGTAATTTAATTTGTGGATGCACTGTTCATCAACTGCTTTGGATTAGATTTCCAAAGCCTTTCAAAGAATGGTATCCAACCATAAACTGGCAAGTTACTCCAATTTTCAAAACCATCACTACTGTCTAGAAATGTTTTTTTCCAAAACTGATATTTGAGTGTGCAGTTGTTTATGAGGTGAGGTAAAACCTGGTAAAGTATTATATTCTCTCTTTTCCATTTATCACAAGCAACTTCTCTGAAAAAAGAATAAAATTAAGACCAACATCCTTTCATTCTATGTTTTAAACTACTATTCCTCCATGATGGCAGATAAAACAACAGATCAGTTTTTCTCCTTTACCTATTAAGTTGACTCGCCCTGGTGCACGAACATAAAACTTGGGAGCCGATCCAAATTTTGACATAAACATCTCCTTCAGCTTCTGCAATCTGAAAGGCAGGTTAGAAACATTTAGAAAGCCCATATTTGCATAAAAGGGAGGAAGTCCATGGTCTGAAATATTTATTGAAATAAATTTGACTGAACTTTTTGAAGTATGTGCAGCATTCTCTGTTACATCAGGAGTGACATTAAGCTGCTTATTTTTGCTCTTCACATAACATTGATTGTGAGAGAAAACACTCCATTTAGAATATTCTAATTAATAAGAAATGCATATGTTCATTTGAAAGGACAGAAAGGGCCTTATTTTATTTCAGTCCTCTGTCTAGGTTGGGTTCTAGACAGAAGCAGGAAAGGCAGTTGCCTGGGGTAACCAAATACCACGGCCTCCACCCACCTCTCCTACACCACAGCTCTGTAAAACTGTTTGCCATTGAGGAAGAATCCGGCAGTGTGGACCAATAGCTCATTTGTGGCACCAGGATTTCACACACACACACACAAAGGCACACCCTTCGGAGTCAGATCTGACCGCACCAGGCCTGAGCAAATGCATTTTCTTTTAAGTTTTGACTTTTTCAAATTCCACACTACCCCATTTCTGTACAAATGCGTATACAGATAACTATTCAGGTTATCTCTGCGACTTTCTTAGACAGTATTTACTCTACAGGTATACAGCAACAGTTCCCAGAAAGTTCCTCAGGTGTTACATTTGGAGGTATTAGAATTAGATGTGCCACTGAAAGTCTCAACACAAAGAAAAATTTGGCATATTACATGATTTTCTAGAACTGTAAAAGTATCTATCTAGCTTCTGCCCTGTGTTTGCAAAGTTGGGATATTTTAGTGTGTTATACGGGAACAGTGGGCAAACAAAGACTGAGAAGAGGTTAAGACATTATCATAGTGAGGCACAATAAATTTGATAGTGATTCACTTCAAAACTATCTTAAAGCAATTCAGCTTGCACACTATCCCATTAACTTTCATTAATTTAAGCAACTGAGTAAAATGATGAAAAAGCAGTAAGAATACAAGAAAAATAAGCTTTAAAATAGGACTTACAATATTTCACCAGCATACCCTGCTTCTTTAAAGCATGTAGACAATTAAATTTATTTTTTTGGTTTTCAGTCCACTAACAAGAATCCAGTAACAAGAACCCTGTGTGGTTCTACATTTAGTCTAAAACTAGAACTGGAAGCCTCGTTAACGCAAAGCGTAAGTAAGAAGATAGCAATGAGAAACAGATGGTACAAAATTTCACAGTCAATTATTTAGTTTGTACTTCTTTGTAAAAGCTGTGTTACTGTCCAACTACATATATTCAAATGTTTTGTAAAATTTCTTTAGATGGAAAGCCATAAAATATTATTTGTCCTGATTTTTTTTTTAACAGATCTTTCAGTACTTTTCCATCTTGGTGCCCAGTAACAAAGCTGTATTAGGTCCCGGCATAAATTCCCCTTCTTACAATCTTCCCTAGTATTGACTAGTTTATCACTCTTCCAATTACCAGAAGCAACTTCTGCCATTTCATTGTACAATCCCTTTTCTAGATCACATTAATGATATTATAGTCCATGGGGGAATCTGTTGGCAGAATTCTAGGTGTTAACTTTATTCCTCTTTGTGCCTGTACTTAGAATGCTGCTTTGTTTCACAGATATTTTTATAGTGGCGTTGGTACCAAGAGACTAAGAACAAACAGAGCAGTCATGGGGGCATGTTTATCTGAGTGCTGATTGATCTCTTTTTTTAATGTGGGTTTTACAAGCAGGCCTGATGAAAGGCTATTTACAGGCTTTGGCCTCAATGTTGCAACACGCATGCTGCATTTTAAGCACCTACATCAAAGATGACTGTCAGAAGGGTTCAGCAAAGGCATCCCTCACAACTTCACACATCCCAGTCTGGAAATGCTGGGGGCTCGTCCCTTCCACATGACTTACACCGAAACGCCGTGCCATCACACACAAGTAAGAAAAGTTTAGAAAAATGACACTTCTCCAGTGCTAACACGGGTTCGTTTGAACTGTGTATTCCACTTTCCACACACCGAGCGTGACCCTGGGGGGGGGAAAAGCCCGCGTTGGCACAGGCCGCAGCCGAACCACCGCAGAGCCGGGCCCGCGGTGCTGCGGGGCACGGGGGGAGCATTTCTCTCACAGCCAGCAGGACGCCAGGATTAGCAGGATCCCCCCAATTCTGGGAAGAGCACCCACGTTAGGAGGAGAGATGAATGGGTTGTTCCCCCTCCGGCCACGGGGGCGCTGTGGGAGCGGCAGCGGGGAGGCCGGGGCTGCCCGGAGCTGGGTTTGGCGGGTCGGGGCGCTCTGCCAGCCCGGGCCCGCCTGCCGGCCGGGAACGGAAATACGCCCAGGCCGATGTGGCCGCGGCCAGGGTGCTCCTGGGGCCATGCAGCATCCCAGTGTCGCGCCATTTGTGTTGAGACGAATCAAAACTATCCCAAGTCAAAACCCTCTCGCCCCCTCCGATGAGGCGCACTGGGGACAGACCGTCCCGCCTGTCCGCCCGCCTCCCCGGTCCGCCTGCAGACCGCCCGCCCGCCCCTGCATGGACGAACGGCGGCGGGCTCCCGCCTCCCGGCTGCGGGGCCGGGGCCGAGGGGAGCGACCCACCCACCTGGGCTGCTCCACCAGCTGAACCGGCAGGGTGCCGGGGGCGTCGGCCGCCATGGCAGCTCCCCCCGCCGGCCCCTTGTTGAGGCGGGCAACGGCGCGGTGCGGCGGCTCCGGCTGGACCGCGATCACGGGACAGACAGACACCGTCCGTCCTTCCGGGCGGCGGGGCTGGCAGCCCGGCCTCCTCCCCGCCCCGGGCCCGGCCCCGCCGCAGGGCACCGCTGAGGCAGCAGCGCGCAGACCCCGGGCCCGTCTGGCGGCCGCCCCGCAGCCTGGCGGGCCCTGCTGCCCTCAGCCCCTCGCCCAGCGCACTCCAGACGTGACAGGAAAGCCGCTGCGACGTGTGAGGGGAATGTTAGGGGGTGTTTTTTTTTCCTTCGTTCCTGTCAGAATTGAGCTGCCAACAGAGAAACTTCCAAAAACTGCCCCCGGCCCTGTGGGGTTGGAGTCACCCCCAGTGCCGTGTTGGGCCAGTGCCGGTTCTCCGGCAAAATGCACAATAAATTGGCAGTGCGATCCCCTACAGCGTTATTTTTTTCCCTTGTTGTTTTTTTTTTTTTTTCCTGGTGTGTGGTTCTGCCAGCTCCCCTCATACGCCGTCTCACAGCCCCTGTTTCCCCCCCCCCCCCCAAGATTAATGGCTGCCATTACTTTGAGGAACTGAGCTTTTAAAATGCGTTAACAAGCTCCCTCACTCATTGTTGTTGTCTATTTTGGTGTATATCTTAAAACCCCTAATATTCAATTCATAGAGCTTTTAAGTGCTTGGACCGAGAAAAGCACAGTTAACATGGAGAGCTCAGTGTGGATTATCACATCTTTCTGAGGTAAAACTTTTCTCCTGGTTAGTAGGCTGGCAGAATAGAAATGTTATTTTTTTTTAAAGACTTAGAAGTAGCCATAGAAAAAAATAAAAAGACTATCAGAAACTGTAAGGACGTAGACCAACAACAGGAAAATCTGGGGTCCAAATAAATACTGTCAATTGTAGGAGCCTGTGAGAAGCACGGGCCTTGTGGAGGCTGAGGGGAGGCAAAGATCGTCTGTCCGGGGGTTCTGCCTCAGCGAGTTGAAGGCAAAAATTAGCGTGTAAAAATATCTAGAAAGCAAATGCTTTTAGGCCCGTGTTTCTTACCGCTTAGGCCTTTTGAAACTGCTGCTAGAGTAGCTGATGGTGTTTGCTGACGGCTGAGGCAGCGCACACCCCTCGGCAGCACGGCGCGAGGCAGCCGAAGGGCGGGCAGGACGGAGAGCGCCGCCGCCATAACCCAGCGAGCGGCCGGGCTTTTTGAATGTCCCATCCCGGCACGCACAGCCACAACACTTACAGCCCGGGGGCGGCAGCAGCTCATGCCCGGATACGCGGCCACCGGCCACGGCGCCGCCATGGCGGGCTCCGGGCTCCGTCCCGGGCGGGCAGCAGAGCCCTGGCCCGGCGCCTATCCGGAGAGGCCCCTCTGGCGTGAGGGGGCGAAGGCGGTGGCGCAGCGGGAGGCGGGCCGCCGTTGCTAGGGGCCGGTTGCTAGCAGGAAAAGAGGAAACCGGCGGTGGTGCAGCGCCGATTGGGCTCCGTGCGCCCCGGGCCGGGGGCGGGAGGGGAGCGGGCGACAGCGGGTTCCGGGCGGAGCGGAGCCACATTGGGCAGCGCCGCGCGGGGTTGTGGGAGAAGGGGCCGTTCCCCGCTGCCTCCTCCCCGCGCCGGCCCCCTTCCCCTCCCCCCGCCCGTCCTCCGGCCAAGATGTCTGACATGGAGGATGATTTCATGTGCGATGATGAAGAGGACTACGACCTGGTAAGGCGCGGGTGGGGGGGGTCGGTGGGGCGGTCAAGGGGCCTGGCAGGAGCGGTGCCGCCTCGGCCGGTGCCGGCGCGGGGAGTCCGCCCGCCCGCCGCCGCAGCAGCCCCGCCGGGTGCTGCCCCGTGAGGGAGCACTGACAGGATGAGTTTCCCTCCCGGGGAGGAGGGGTGGTGGCAGCGGCCGCGGGGGGCGGGTGCTGCTGTGGGAGCAGGCCCCGCCACCTCTCCACGGAAAAAAAAAAACAACAAAAAACACAACAAAAAAAGCAGGCCAACTTCGGCCCCGGGAAGTTAAGCTAGGCCCAGCCAGCCTGGGCCCCCGTTTGTCTTCCGCAGGGGTCAGGGTGAGGGGAGGGCCCCGGTGTCCTGCCTCCCTTCCTCCCTCCTTCCCCCGGCCGCTGCCTGAAGCTCGGCGAGGGGAGGCCATAAAGTTGTCTGTCCTCCTGCCCGTCCCCGGCTGAGAGAGGTCCGTGGGGGTGGGTGTCATTCCTGGGCCTGCGAGAGCGTCAAACTGAGGGAAAAGTGGGGGGAAGAGAAAGGGGAGTGAGGAGAAATGGCCACACAGCCGGTTGCTGGTGGAACACACCAAGGGTGCACTCATTTTTAACTTTTTACCTTTCTACTCTTAGTGAGCTTCTTGCCCCTCTTGATATTTTTTGGTTTTTTGGAGGGGGGGGAGTTGTTGTTTTTTTTTTAATTGCAGAGTTTGGGATTTTTCACATTGTATCCAGCAATGTTTTGACATCAGGTCTTGTTCTTAGCTTCTACAGTTAAAAAACTGGAGCTTGCAGTTAGCAACAGACCAGTTTATTGGGAGAAAATTGGTAATATAATGGGACTGTGTTGATGTAACTAATTTCCTTTAGATTATTAAATAAAAGTTTTTTACAATGAGTTAAACCATCTTGGGGGAGATTAATAAACTGAATACCTGTCATATTTGAAACAAGATAGGTTTTCTGTGCTATCTGAATAGTTCTATTGCCATTATCTTGTATTTGAGCTTGAGGTTTGTTTTTTGTTTGTTTTTTTGCTTTTCTGAATTCTGTATAGGTTTTTAAACCAGAGACGTTTTTAAAAAAAAACTGCGTATGGTTGAGGCTTGAGAGTTGATATGTCATTCATTTCAGCTAAACCTGTATTTACAATACTGCAGTTTCACTGGAAAACCCCAGACGCTTGCGTCTGGAAAACTTGCTTTCTAACAAATTATTTGATAATCATTGCTACTTACGAATTCACTTAAAAGACTTGTCTGATTTTATTTGAAATAGTTTCTGGGCAGTTTCTGTTGTGAGCTGCTCAGAATTGTTGGGTGACATTGGATATAGATTAAAAGCATCTGGTTTTCGTTCTGGGTTATTTAAATTCATGTAAGAGTGCTTGTTTGACATGCATTGTCATCTTAACCTCATGAGTATTAGTATTTCAAGAACTGCTAGTCTTCCACTTTAGTTCTTGAATGAGTTTGCAAACTTTTAGAAACACGCTTTCTGAAGGAAATACACTGAGACTATTAAAATACTTTGTTGCTCCAGTTTGTTCCAAATTTGGATTTCCATTCATTTTCATTAACATTTACATTCATGTCCTGATTTAAAATACTGTTTATTTTTCCATGTGATACAATCAAAGGAATACTAAACATAGCAGAATTCACGTTGAATATCTGTAACGTGAGAACCAGACATGTAGAGAAATCATTGGAACTACATTTTTCAATCTTTAAATGCAGCCGTCTACCTCTAAATATGAATAAGAGTGCAGCTCAAAGCTCATAATGTACTATGTCAGTTTTCACCAAGAATAATTGCTGGTCTAACGCTTGTTTTTTCTGTGTTTCTTTTTCCTGAAGTATTTTCTTTCTCATTGGAAAAACCTTCCTGAAACTTCCTGCTTGAATAAAATTTCAGCCCCTGCATATAGTTACTTTTCCTGGAACATTTTCATCATCATTAATTACTACTAGCCCAGACCTTTCAAAAATTTAAAAATACTGCTCATAATAATTGGGAGCATGTTAATTTTTTCTTTTCAGTAGGTAACTCCCGTGTAAAGTATCAGATAATACTTAAGCCACATCTTTAAATGAAACAGCTTTTTAAATATAATGTGTGTTTATAACTGATGGGAATAAAGAACCCAGAATTTAAGAATAAAAGTATTCCAGCTAGACTAGTTTCAGCATTCTTGGACTAACAAACCATGACTGGATGTTGTTTTCGAATGTGCTTGAGACTGTAATTGCAGTGTTCCACAAAATTGTTTTGGAAAATAGTTAAGGGCCCTGAAGACAAGTCCCGATTTCTTCCTTTCGTGTTGATATAAGTCTAGTTAAATTAAGAGAAGACTGCGAGGGGATTCGTAAGGGGAGACTGTAAGGGGATTCATTCTCAAGTTTGGTATGAAGGCTGCTGCAGAAGAGTTTGAAATGAAGAAAAAAAAAAAAGGGTAAAAGAGCACATTTGAGTGTTGGTAAATATTTTTTTTAAGGAATAGGAGGAGAGGCAGAAATTACAGTAACAGTTAATGAAAGGAGAAATAGCTATTTTGTCAAAATATACTGTGTGGTGAAACTAGATTCAGGCCTCTGAGGGTAGCTACTAGCATAAAAATAGTAGTTAAAAGAAGACTCCCAAAAAAAGTTTTCATTTTGTCAGCTTTTATTAGAAGTGATTATGGCTGTTCCACTTTAAATGTGCACTTGACCTGCTGATTATGTAGAACCAGTTATATTTCCTTAAGTATGCAAATGTTTTGCACTTGAACTGAAATGTGAAGAGATACTCTCTTTTCTAGCTTCATATACTTGGAGTAATTACTGCACTGTTAAACAACTGAAGACTACTCACTTTACAGATCACATTTGACTGTTTCTGCTTATTTTCTCATCGAGTTAAAAGTCAAGGTTTTGCATGTAAATGGCCTCAGCTGCTCCTATAGAAGTGAACTTTATCTGTCGGAGGTCTTGACATTAGGAAAAAAATTCATTTATATTTGTGGGTGGATAGACCTAGATTCACAATTTGCTAGTCATGTACAGTGGCAGCCTTGATTATAACATGGATTATTCCACGTTATGCTTCAATGAATAGAATAATGTTTACTGGTCATTATGAAAACCACTCAATTTTAATTTCTAGTTCGGTGCTGTTAGGTGCTTATATGATTTCAATCCAGGTTCTTTTTACTAGTTTCAGCTTTAGATTGGATAAGGAGGAAGAGGGAAAGACCACTGTAAATTCCATTTCTGTTTTCAGTCTCAGACAAAAAGCTGTGTTTATAATTGACTTTGAGACTAAATTTAGCCTTTCTGCAGAAATTGATTCTTCCAGGCACAGTGACAATACATTGACAGTTGTTGTATTATGTCTACTTTTTTGTTTTGTTTTAAATAAATAAGTTGTCTGCAGTGTTCTTAATGAGACATCTTACTATGTTCTGAAATTCAACTTTCAAATTAATCTGGGGGAAGGACAGACAAATCTGTTTGCTGAGCAACTTGTCTTTTTATGTTGTGGAGTTGGATGGATTCAGTGAGTTCAGTAGGAGAGCTGTTTACAATGCCAATGAAGAGCCAGCAGTTTGCACCCCTACCAGATGGCTACAGGTTCCTGAGGATTGGCATGGCTCAAATATGGGGAGCGTACCGTCAGATTACTGAGGGTTTCCTTTTTCAGGCTGTGTTGATATTAGGAAATAGGCAGTCTTACTTTTTATTTCAAGCTATCAGAAAGGCAGCTTAGTCTATGTGAATTGGTTCGCTCTGTCTTTCCAACAGGAAGAAATATACTCCATTTCAGAAGGAATTTCTATATGTAAGCAAACTTGATAAGCAATCTCATCAGTAGACGGGAATTTTCCTACTTTATATTGATGCATTTTTAATAGATACAGTTGAAATTACATGCAGATACTGTCATTGCCTCCCAACTTGTTATGTTTCAGTATTCATTTTAACAAATACATATATATGTTGCAAATAAGAAAGTGATAATGCTGCAAAACCAAGCATTTAGAACTAGGGAAATACCAAATTAAAGAGATCCACTTTACCCTCTTCTGTTTTGTTACTTTTAATTACATTAGTATGTGATTTTTTTAAAAAAATAATAATCGGTGGGTTGCACAGAGGACATGGGATATACTGTTCTCTAAATTAATTAATATTTTATATGGATTCTGTATGTGTCCTGGTATTATATTATTTATGCATTCTCTTCAGACTCACCTTTAAACACGGAATTAATATATTTGAGGCTTATTTCAGTCATTACCATAATGTCTCAGAAGGAAATACTGAGGCAAAAAAACCATGAGAATAATTAGGCAGTAAATTCTTTCTGTCTGGACATTGACAGGTATCAATAAGTTGGGAGTTTGTGGGGGGTTTTTTTTGAGAGTTATTTAGCACTGTTCAGAACAGAGCTCCCCAGAATCTGATATGCATTAGGTGTTAAACAGAAGTAAGTTACATCTAAGTTAATACTAAAAGCTGGACTTCTAGAAAAGGATGCCTCTAACTATAAGAGAGCTGTGTTATAGGGAGAAAGAAAAGGCATTTATTTTTGATACTCTTTACATGTCGTAATACCAGTTTTTTTTCTTTCTGCAGTCTCCTGTCTCATTTCTGTGCATCTTCCAACTTCAGCTTAAAATAAGTAAAGGCAGAGCAGTGTCTTTCCATGGAACTGTACTGACCCTGTTGCAAATCGCTGGCTTCACTGACTTCTTATTGCTGGTGTGGGCCCCGGTGTGAGCCAGCAGGCAGTAGATGACTTGCAGAGTTAGCAAGTAGGAGCAGAAGAGCAGGGAGACCTGGAATGTGGAAAAGAAAACCAGGGCTCCCAATGCACGCTTGAGTGGTTGCAGACTTCTTACACAAATCACACTCTTGTTTTCAGTCTCATGGTTCGTCTCTGTTCTTTTCCTCCTTGCTCTTTTGCATTCCAGTCTGATTGCTTTCTTTATATTCATGTGCCTGGATACCAGTGG